GAAAAGGTTTTTCAAGCAAACGGACCTAAGAAACAAGCAGGTGTGGCCATTCTAACCTCCAACAAAATTGACTTCAAACTAAAATCAATCAGAAGAGATGGAGATGGACATTTTATACTCATAACAGGAACAATTCATCAGGAGGAAGTCTCAATCCTGAATATCTATGCCCCTAATATAAAGCCTCCTACTTATGTAAAAGAAACACTTCTAGAACTCAAGGCAGTCATCAAACCACACACACTTCTCTGCAGCTCATGGAACCTTCTCGAAAATTGACCACATACTCAGTAACAAAGCAAACTTCCACAGATACAAAAAAATATTAGTAACCACCTGTGTCTTGTCAGATCACCATGGAATAAAGTAAGAATTCAATAACAATTCTAACCCCAGAAAGCCTACAAACTCATGGAAGCTGAACAGTCAACCACTGAATCACCCCTGGGTCAAGGAAGAAATAAAGAAAGAAATTAAAGTCTTCCTTGAATTTAATGAAAATAAAGACACAACATACTGAAACCTATGGGACACTATGAAAGCAGTGCTAAGAGGAAAGTTCATAGCACTAAGTGCCCAATTAAAGAAAACAGAGAAAGCACACATTGGAGACTTTCTTAGATTTAATGTTTCTTAAGACACATTAACAGCACACTTGAAAGCTCTCGAAAAAAAAGAAGCTGATTCACCCAGGAGGAGTAGAAGGCTGGAAATAATCAAACTGAGGGGTGAAATCAACAAAATAGAAACACAGAAAACAATCCAAAGAATCAATGAATCAAAAAGCTGGTTCTTGGAGAAAATCAACAAGATCGACAAGCCCCTATCCAAATTAATCAAACGGCAGAGAGAGAACATGCAAATTAATAAGATCAGAAATGAAAAGGGGGACATAACCACAGACACAGAGGAAATTCAGAGAATCATTAGATCTTACTACGAAAATTTATATGCCACAAAGTTGGAAAATGTAAAAGATTTCTTTTAACAATAAATATAGGAGAATTCCAAGGGCTGGTTGTTTCTTCAATATGCTGAGCATCTAGCTGCTCCTGTACCAGCTGTTCTAAAGCCTGTAGGCTCTCTGTTGTTAAAGATCATTGTGCAACCCATACAGGTTTGTCTGTCAATTATTTTAAAGGTAGGGCTGTTGGTGTCTTTGGAGGATCAGCAGCTGTTGTGCCCTGCTCTTTAACAACCTGAATGGTCATTGATTGTTCTTTATAATATTTTGCAATATTTTCTCCAGAAGTATACATTAATTTATGGTTTGATACTAACACTGGGGAAATGTTAATCTGTGTATTCCATTGTTGTAACAAATCATGTCCCCACAAATTCTTTGATATGCTAGCCACAAAATATTTTAATATTTTTCTCTGTATTCCTGGCCAGGCTCAGGGACAGATTATCAGACAAATGACTTGGGGTTGCAAGGAGTGGGGCAGTGCTACTTGTGGAATGCCCAGGTTTGTCACGCAGCTCCTCAAATGGCAGCAGCTTGGAATCAGAGTGAGTGTGGCAGTGCTCCTAATTTGTTTTGATTTTATGGGAGTTCACAGTTAAGAGAATTTGGACTTGTAACTTGAGAGATATGCTAACGTTTATGGGGACTTTAAAAGTTGAATTGAATGCATTTTACCTTGAAACATGGTTGAGAACCTATAGGGACAAGAGGTGGAAGAAAATGGATTAAAAATAATGTGCTTGGGTGCCAAGCTTACACTAGGTGGACTTGTGATGGGCAATGTTGTCAGCTTAACAGAATCTACAATTGCCTGGGAGATAGGCCTCTGGGCATGCCTATGGAGTATTATCATGATTGCCTTAACAGAGACAGGGTGACTTGGCCACTGTGAGTGCCACCATTCAAAAGCTGAGATTCTGGGCTATAAATGAAGAAACAGACCTAAACTGCAGCATACTTTCATCATTCTCTGCTTCCTAATTGTAGATGTGCTTCATTAGTCTCTTGCTGTCTCAATTTCCCTACCAAGATAAATATTACCCTTTAAATGTGAGATAGAATAAATCCTTTATCCCTTAGGTGGCTTTTGTCAGGCTATTGCATCACAGTGGCAAGAAAATAAGGTAAGAAGTCAAGGTTGGAGTGCCAGATGGGGGATATCAGTGGAGTTGGAGCCATAGGCACTAAAATGACAGCTCTTCTTTACCTGAGATAAAGTTCCAATCCCTAAAACCCAAACATTTTTATTCTGAATATGTCAATTTGGTTGGAAGCAGACAAAAGTTGGGAGCATGGGGATGGGGTGGGGGTGGGATGGGGAGAAGGGAAGACCGGGAGAGAGAAGGGAGAAGGGGCAGATTGGGGAGAGCTTGGGGGAGTGGGATGGTTGAGATGAAGGAAGGGCGGATATGGGAGCAGGGAAGAAGATATCTTAATCAAGAGAGCCATTTTAGGGTTGGCAAGAGGCGTGGTATAATTATCTGTTCTGTCTCTTTAAGAAACAAGCCATGCCCACTACCTACCCCATCCACTGAGCAAGCTGATCTTCAGCTTCCAACCTGAGTTCTTTCTCTTTTCCATCTCCCTCTAGAAGAGGCAGCTTCTGCCTCTCTCCACTTCTCCCGTTCCCCCGCTTCTGTCTCTCCCTTCTCTCTCTCTTCTCTCTCTCTCTTCTCTCTTCTCTCTTCTCTCTCTCTCTCTCTCTCTCTCTCTCTCTCTCTCTCTCTCTCTTCCTCTTCTTCCCCTTTCCCTTCTCCTCCATAACCCACTTAATAAATATCCAACCTCACTCTGCATGGTGTGCCTATCGTCTGTCTCTCGCCTGCTGCCGCCACATGGCTTGCCATCTGGGATCAGCCAACAAAAATTTAAGCAGTCTCTCTTCCAGCAACAGGACAAGAATAAAAGTCCTGTTGAAATAACCAAGAACCAAAACAGTCAAACTGTTAGACTGGAAGATGAAGTGGAAGCCAGCAAAACATACTTATTAGGGAAAGACTTAAGAAACATTAGGCTAGCCTTAGCTTCTTCTGCCTAGAAGCCTAGGGGAAAAATGAGGGCACAAAATGTTGCATGACTTGCACCAATAAGGCAACATAATCTATACAGAAGTTTATTAAAATCTCCAAGTACCCAGAATCTTCACCAGTCAACTCACTAAAAGTGAAGGTAAGAAAGAAAAAAGTGACAACTCCACTGTTGTTTCTGGTGAATAAAGGTGTGCTCTTGGGTCATAGTGGTTCTTGAGTGATACCATTGACCTCTTAATGACTCTCCAATGGTGACTGAACCCACCTGTGAGACATCATGACCCACTCAGACCCCCTTTATGTACTCATATTGTAGGTACATTAGCTTACACTGTGAGCTGTCTCTGAACTGTGCCCTAGAGGAGCTGATCCTATGGGGAGGCCTGAAAGAGCAAGTCTGCTTCTGTGCTCACCAAGGAAGGAAAGGTGAAGACACCTGTGGGAGATACAGTTAAAGTAGGCCTCCCTATTACTAAGAGAATTGTATTGACCCAGGTTGCTCTCAGGCCTCTGTACCTATTTCACACCACTCAAGTGTGCCTCTGGGTGCGGATGAACCAATCCCCTACTATTTTCCTGGATGGGTTCCCCTTCCTTCACATTCTCCATGAATCCTTCACATTCTCCATGAACTCTGTTCACCATTGAACATCACCACCACAACAACACACTGTATGGAGTCATATAAATGAAGTAATCTGCTGCTGACTCACTTGCTGAGGTCTTGCAAAATTCATCCAGTCCTGACTCAGGCCATGGGCCAAACCAACCTCTGGAGATTTCAACTATTCAGATTGTTCAAAATGCCCTCTGAGTCCTGGAGAATTGTATACTTCAGATTCAGGCAGGATATCACACTACACAAGCTGGGGACAAGAGGTACAGATGAGTCCCTCACAGGTCTGTAACATGAGTCTTCTGACTTTTTATTTATTTATTTATTAAAAATTTCCACCACCTCCCATTTCCCTCCCACTCCCCCCAATTCTCCTCCCCCTCTCTCTCCAGTCCTAAGAGCAGTCAGAGTACCCTGCCCTGTGGGAAGTCCAAGGTCCTCCCCCCTCCATCCAGGTCCAGGAAGGTGAGCATCCAAACAGACTAGGCTCCCACAAAGCCAGTCCATGCAGTAGAATCAAAACCCAGTGCCATTGTCCTTGGCTTCTCAGTCAGCCCTCATTGACTCTTGTGTACCATCAGGGTCACATGGAATGACAAAGATGTTCAGGTAAACAGGATGGTCTTGTCCATACTCTGATCTCAGCAGTCCCTATGAATCCATCTACAAGCTGTATGTACACCAGATCATTCACTTTGAAAGTCAGGCCATACACTTCCCCACAAATTCAGCACTACCAGATACCAAGAAACACCACTTCGATGCACTAGATTCAGCCTTGCCCTTCAAGAGCAGGAATAAACTCCATCCTTAAAGGACAGCTTTCTTCACTATGAATGGGAAAAGCACTCCACAGTATCCTGTCATAGACTCAAAACTAAGGTCAATGTCCTAGCAGAGGGTTCCTTGATACTATGCCCCACATTATGTCAAATGAGTCCCAGGCCTTTGAAAATGCTGTTATCACCCATAGGGACAAATGCACATATCATCCTGCTGACATTTCCTCCATCGATCATCCAGGTCTAGGAGAGAAGCAAATGTACCTCTGGGTAAATCCCATGCCATGCCATCCCCAACACAGGGTCCAGCTTTAGGAACATGATTACAGGGATGCAGTGAAGATCTGTCTCTGATCTCAGCCAGCACTAATGTCTTTCAGTACACTTATCAGTGTCATTAAGGGTTGCCCCTCTGGTGAAGGATATAGGGATGCATTGTGTACAAGGGTATTCTGGATTCAGGAGGAACAGTTTGGCTCAGGAGAGACATCTCTCAGGGTTCCAACAACTACGGGTATGCTAGACACAGACTGGACCTGCTTGCTGAGGCCAACTTGCAGCACCATGCACTGCCTGTGCCACAGAGAGCTTCATGACGCCTCGGGCTTTCTGTGTGTCAAGAAAGCAGTGACACTCGAGGATGGAGAAGAATCTACACTGAAAGGTTTCATCAGTACAAGCCACCTAGAGGAAGAGCCTAGTGAGGAAGGAATTCTGCCTGTGTGGGGGGGAAGGGGGGAAAGCAGACACACCCACCAAGAGCCAGGCAGTATCTCAGCAGGAGCCACGCCTAGCAAGAACTTGCTTGCAGGGAGCAGGAGCTATTGGTGTCCATACACCCCCCCCCCATCTACCAAAAGATAGGAAGTAGCTCAGAAGGAGTCAACCCTAAGGAGAACTTGCTTGCAGGGATCAGGAGCTATTGGCGTGTTCCCCCCCATCTCTCCCCCACCTTCCCCTGCCTCCCACACATCTACCAAAAGACAGGAAGTAGCTCAGCAGGAGCCAACCCTAGCCCTAGCGAGAACTTGCTTGTAGGGAGCAGGAGCTATTGGTGTGTTCCCCCATCTCCTCCCACACACATCTACCAAAAGACAGGAAGTAGTTCAGCAGGAGCCAACCCTCGCGAGAACTTGCTTATAGCCGAGTTGTTGTTGTCCCGCCCCCAGACACACCCACCGAGAGCCACGCAGTAACTCATCTCACGAGAACTCGATTGTGAAAGCACAGTGGGCCTCACGTGGTGTGCTCAGTGGGGCTCATAACCGTCACCTCATCTCGGTAGCTGAGCCTGAGTGGCGCCGTCGATTGAGCCAGGGGAGCTGAGTGGAAAGTCAGAATCGCCATGCAGGATCCTGGCGAGGACACAGGTGGTAGAACAGGGGTTGAAGAAGACGAGGATGGGCAGCAGAGACCTGGAGCTTCCGATATCCAGGCTAGCTCTCAGAGTTCGGCGGCAGAGGGTGACCAAGACGAGGTCCCTCGTGAGAGTGGCCCACAAGATGCCAGTAGCCAGTCTGTTCCAGGCAGGTCCCGCCCAGGGAACCCTTTAGGGTTAGGTGTGGCAGCCGAAGAGGCAGCTGTCGTTCCCCAAGACGAGCTGCCACCACTTCTCCCTGGACCCAGTGGAGATGTTGCAACAACTGCAAGTCGACTCCTGGAGTTGTATCCTTTCCTGGGAGACCCTTGGCAGGGGCAATGGGAAGACAGGAAGGATGAAACGTGAAACGAAGTCTTTCGGGTGGGTGAGCAGGAAGGTTGACAGCAGGGGAAGGAAGAGACAGAGTGGTACACTCTGGACTGTTAGTCCAAGAAGAAACGTCATGCTGGCAGGACAGGGAGTTGCCTAAGCCCGAGAAGACTTCATAATGTAGAAGAAAACCTGAACCGTTGGGGAGGCGGGAGGTGGATGACACTTGTTTGGCATCGTCAGAAAGAAGATTCTGGGGCAGTCTTGGTCTTGAGTTGCACATGGGAGCAGTGTCAGACAGGCCTCAGAAGTATACCAGGCCACATAGCAATAGGAAACCTAATAGTGGATGATACCTTAACCATAGCCCCCTTCTAGCTCTGTAAGAGTGCCTTTCAGGTCTGCTGTAGAGGCAGACATGGCCCGCAGGTCCCTGGTTGCCAATGCCCAGCGCCAGCTACTAATGGTTCCACAGGAGTACACCGTGAATGACAGTACTTTGGTTGTGTCAGTTTTCCCAAAGCCCGGAGTAGGGGTGGCTTCGGGGTTGGGAGGCAGTGTGCGCTCTAGGGGTGTCCTAATGGGGAGACACTGGTGGGTTAGATATAAGTGGGAAGGTATGGTGTGAGGGACCTGAACAGATCCCTCATTTCCCTGATGGTGTTTCTTTCTCTCACATTTAGTAGGTGGACAACTGACGACACCAGTCTCTTCCAGATTTCCATCAATAGCTTCCTTGACCAGCTCTCCCTGGTGATGAGAAATATTCGGCACTTCCAGTTTGTGGCTGTTGTCAAACGAGGAAGAGGAAGGATTCATCACACCTAAACTTTCTCCCCCTAAAAGACAGGACAAAGGCATTTTGTGTTTTTGGTAATTGTTACCTTGCCTTCAAATTTCAATGTTTTGATGTGATTTCCCCTTTATCAGTCCCATGCTTGGCTTGTTTCCCTTTTGCTTAAGGAAAGGGTGCTTAAAAGTTTGTTGCTGAACAAAATAAAACTAACGTATTGTGGTTTAGATGTTTTGGTTAGGTTTTGGTCTGACATTACTTTTGGCTATGGCAGAAGCCTCCAGTTTTCTCATCTGTGTACTTCGGTTCGAAGGAAAGTTCTGAAATTTAAAATTTCTCACAGTCCAAAGCAGGGAAAGATATTTTAGTAAATGGAAAGAAAGTTACATTATTTAAAGTCAGTTACTTATTCAGCACATAATATGGTTATCTTTGAAGTAAGATTTTTTTTGTTAGAATATGATAAAGAGCTTTGCTAGCATGCCAGAGTCCCTGAGTTCAATCCCAAAGTACTATTAAAAAAAAAAAAGGTGTGTGTGTCCTATAGAACTAAGTATATAAAGGCAATAAAGACATTTTTAGGTTTATCCTTTAATATTTTTCCTGGAATATTTCTCTTATGGAATACTAGCTTTTCCATTTCCTCACACTTTTCAGGAAAATTTTATGTTAAAAACATCCTCTATATACAGATAGAAAACGTTTAGGCTTATCCACTTTTTCCTATACAATAAATAATTTAGTTCATGAAAGCTTACTTCCTTAAGGTATATTAGAAGAGGTAGATTTCCTGAATTAAACATTTATGTAGTCACGTATTAAATTTCTCCACGGATACTACTTGACCGTTTTCTAATATGGGTCTTACACTCGCCAAATCTCAGTCTGCAGACTCTCTTTCATGACCACTGGGTTGATCGTTTTCATACAGAAGGGAAAAACTGATTTAGTTTGAGAGGACAAGAAAGAAACACCAGAGCAGGATATTTGAGGCTCCCAGGCCTTCTTTCAGATTAGTGTAGAGTAACATCGAGACAAATGATTGTGCTTGTTAAGTAGTGGCTAGCTGTGTACAAACAGCCTGCATGCGAGAATCTTGCTAAACTCACTCATTAGTTCTTGTGACTGTGTATGTGTGTGTATATATATATGTGTGTGTGTGTGTGTATATTTGTATATGTATGTATGTATACGTATGTGTGTTAAAGGCAATTTTATTTCTTTCTCATCTGATGCTGTTTCTTGATTGATTGTTTTCTTTCTTCACTCTGTCTTGGATGCTCCCAGTCCTTCTGTCTATCCCTGGTATGTGTTGGGTGGGGGTCAGGTCTCTCCGAGAGCCCTGCCTACTGCCTCCGGAATGATGAGGTTTTGTATGCAGGTGGACAGGCACAGTCACAGGCTCTTGGCTCGATCGGGTTGGGCATTTACCTGTGATCTTGTGAGGACTGTGTGTGGGGTGAGCCATTCCTGGTCTCCAGTAGTTTTCTCATGTGCTGGGCTTGCAGGTCTCTAGCTGGGCCCTCTGGGAGGGGCAGTGCTCTGTCCCTCGGCAGCTGTCCCAACTCAGTCTCAAAGGCTGCAGCTGCCCAGATTCTCACAACCATCTCTTCAACTCTGGGTGTCTCCTAGGGTCTACTGACAGTTTCTCCCTCCAGGAGGATGGGCACCAGATATATTGCAATTTCCAATTGGTCTTAATACTAAAATCCCAGAGTCAGGCATTAGGGGGTGAAATCTGAAAGATGAGAGAAACAGAGCCGCCAGCCACTAGTGCTTACCTATACAAAATCCTCAGACAGAATGGGGTATCCTGTCTCTTTAAGTCCTCAGGCTGAATGCCATGCCCTCCTGTCTCCTCCCACCTTGAATTACCCTCTCAGCCCAGCCATATCCCTTCCTTTCTCCATCTCCCTAGTGCTGCTGGGGTTAGAGGCCTGTGATCACCAAGTACTAGAATTAAAGGTGTGAGCCACCGCTACCTGGTTCTATGTCTTGGAGACTGGATCAATTTCGTGTAGTCCAGGGTGGCCTTCAACTCATAGAGATCGGTCTCCCTCGGCCTCCCGAGTGCTGGGATTAAAGGTGTGTGGAACCAGTTCTGGGCCTCTATGGCTAAATAGTGGTTTGCTCCACACTCTGATCCTCAGGCATACACATGGGACATAGGCATACATGCAGGCACAACATCTACACATATAAAGTAAAAAACAATGGAAAATGAAAAATACACATGACTTGAAAACAAAAGGGAGGTGTAGAATGAGGAGGCAGGGGCCTGGTGTGGAGGTCCTTCTGTCTATGTGTTGCTTTTATTGGTTAATGAATAAAGAACTGCTTTGAGCCTATGGCAGGGAAGAACAGAACTAGGTGGAGAAAGCTAGGCTGTATGCTGGGAGAAAGAAAGGCAGAGTCAAGAGAGAAGCCATGTAGCCCTGCCAGAGACCAGACGCCAGAACCTTAGCCGGTAAGCGACAGCCTTGTGGCGATATACAGATTAAGAGAAATGGGTTAAGTTAATATGTAAAAGTTCGCCAATAAGACACTAGAGCTACGGGCCAAGCAGTGATTTAATTAATACAGTTTCTGTGTGATTATTTTGCTTCTGGGTGGCCAGGGCGAACAAGTGGCCCTCCTCTAACAGGGCCCAGCAGGGGAGGATAATGGGTTGATGAAGGAAGGCAGGGGAAGAGCTTCAAGACAAAATATGTAGAAAAGCCCCATACTGAAACCCATTTCTTTGTGACTAAGTAAAAAAAAACAAAGCAAAACAAAACAAAAAACCATCCAACCAACCACCAAACAAAAAAGTAATTGGGTCTGGAGAGATACCTCAGCACTGAAGATCACTTACTTTGCATCCAGAGGATCAGAGTTCATTTCCCAGCAGATACTCTGGGGAAATTCATGAGTCTCATGAATATATATCTGGCTCCAGGGAGTCTGATACCTCTGGCTTCTAGGGTCATGTGTACTCATGAGCACATGCCCCACTCCCCCAAACTTACAGTGAAAATAAATCTTTTGTAATAAAACAAGGAAAAGGTATGTGCTTACTGTGGAATCCATGAGAAGCAAAGAAGTTTACCAGGGAAACATACAGAAATGCTTATGAGCCCTCATCCAAGATGGCAGAAGTAGGGGCACAGGGAGGAGGACAGGCACGACATGCTCATCAAGTGTAATGTAAAGAAGTTTTTTTTAAGGAGTCAGGGTCTGTCTTAGGGTTTCGAGTGCTGTGATAAAACCACCATGACCAAAAGCAATTTTGGGAGGAGTGGGTCCATTCGAGCTCACACTCTACAGTTCATCACGAGAGAAGTCAGGGCAGGAACTCAAGGCAGCATCCTGGAGGCAGGAACTGAAGCACAGGCCATGGAGGAATGCTGCTTATTGGCTTGTTCCCTGTGGCTTGCTCAGCTTGCTTTCTTAGACAACTCTGGATCACTTCCCCAGGGAGTGGCACCTGGGGGCACCATGTGCTGGGCCCTCCTACACAAATCATTAATCAAGAAAATACCCTGCAGATTTGACTACAGGCAATCTTGTTTGTTTGTTTTGTTTTGTTTGTTTGTTTTTCCTCAATTGAGAATCTAGATAACTCTAGCAGGTGTAATGCTGACAAAAAAAAAAAGTCAAACCTGGACAATGTCTGTCTTGAACTCCCAGTCCTCCTGCTCAGACTCCCAAGTACCAGGGTTTCAGGCAGGCACCACCATGGTGGGTTGTAGTGTACTTATTCAATTTATGTTTGTGGGCATGCTTTAGAATGAGGGGAAGCCAAGCTCTTACATCACATATAAATATTTCCAGAAGTAAACTGATTTTAAACTGGCACGGTCAACCTTTTCTACCCATGACATTTCTACACATATCAGGAGTGTCTTGGACTTCAACAGTTCAAATGCATTTTAAAGTGCTTGTGGTAACTAACAATGAATGACAGGACCCAACTGATAATACATTTCCGAATCTACCTGCAATCACCTTGCACTACTTGAGCATCTGAATCCCAGAGGCTCTCCTGCAATGCGGGGCTGAAGATGAGGCAATCTGGACTAGCGATAGCTGGACAGAGACACAGAGCCAGACCAGTCTCTCAGTTTTATTCTATTTTCAATGCTGGCAAACATTTAGCCATCGGAGGGTAGGTACAGAGAAACAATTACCACCACCACCCTCCCCTCCCCACTAAAGCAAGGACTGTGGGAGTCTTTGCCCTAGGGAAAGGTGCAGTGTCTAAGACAGAAGGATGCATGCTGAGAGCCCAAGCCCTCTCTCTATCCCTGGTGAGGTTTGAAGAACTCAGGCACAAAGAACCTCAGGTCAATCGCCACTGTGGGAAGCTGGCTGAACAGGGAGGAGACAGGACTGTGGAGGAGGCTGGAGTTTTCAGAAGTTAATCCACTAAAAGTGAGGGAAGAGGAAAAGGCACTGAATGCTCCCCTCGGTCCACTCCTCCCCCATGCCTCCCCTGGAGACACTGGACACAATCCTTCCAGGACTCCCTCAGTCTCCCTGCCAGGCTCCTACAGGCCCGGCTCACCACACCCCCTCCTTTCAGTGACTCTTAAGGTGTCTGCCAATGTACAGTGGGGTAGGCTCCTCAGGCAGAGACAGGAAAGGCTGCCTACTGCCCCCATGCAGGCTCCTCCCCTTCTGGAACATACATAATGAGGTCACTGCCAGTCACTCTGAGTTCCCTGTGAACTGCTTCTTCCAGGGACTCCTCCTCCAGGGTCAGGTACAAGCGTGCGATCTCTGCATCTATGAAAGACTGGAAAGGCACCTTGAGGTCACTGGTGGGATACTGTTAAGGTAACTCGGTCTTGTTGTCCCTGGGTGCTCTCCACATAGACTGCCTCCTCCAGGGCCCTTGATTCCCCCATTTCTCCAACACTGCTTCCTCAAGACGTCTCCATGTTGGGCTCCCCAACCTTCTCCCTGGCCATCTCAGGCCACCTCCAGACTATCCCTCAGTAGCTGTCACAAACGTCATAAAGGATACAACTCCAACAACTGGCTTTCGTCGCTTTCTCCCTCCTCTGGATCATGTGGTGGCTTCTCCACAAGGGTAGCTTTCTCCACCAACGTGCCCTCATCGTCTTTGCCTTCACAACCTTGGGGGATTCCAGAGCAGTCAGGACCATTCGGCACACCGGCACACTGGCATTGTCCTCATCTCTTTCGGTACTGTCTCTGCTGGCCTGAGTACCAGAACTTGGGAAGCTACTCGGGTCTTCTCTGCTGCTAGGTGTGTCACCCGTCAGCTGCCAGGGTCGTTCATGGCTGTCTGGGGTGTCTCAGAACCCACCACCAACACTACTGCCCCCTGCCGATTCTAGGATGGCCTGAGGTGCTTC